TTTTTTAAGCAGTCGCGGCTGGTGCATTCGGTGGCAAGAGTGGAGTTGAAGTCCGCCGTCAAATCGGGCAGTGGCGCGGCGGAGACTGTGCGGAATTTGTTTTCGTCGTTGGCGACGGCATTGTGGGACTTTGGAAGGTACAGTTATGGCCGTGCCAAGCTGAATTTGGTTTTGGTGGTTGATGGTGATGTGAAATCGAGTTTGGTGGGTTTGTTTGAGGAGAAATGTCCGAGTGCTGATACGTTGAGAAGTGAGTCTAAGGTGGTCTCGGAATTGGTCTTTGGCGGGGAAGAGAACTATGACAGTTTAGGGCATCAAGTGAATGTCTTAGTGGGGCTTGTGTGGAAGATTGTGGCTTGGGAGGCCATTACTGCGTTTGTGGCTCTTGAAGGTGCTGAATTGAAGGAGAAGAGTCAAGATGGTGAAGTAATTAGTGTTAACAAGAAGAGTGAGAAGAAGAAGAAGGTGCTTTTGGGGAAAGGAACTAGTGTTCTAATCCAGGTGATTAAGAATAGATTAGGGAGTAAAGTGAGTGGTTCTGATGGCTCAGGAGGGTTGTTGGAGAAATGGGTTGAGGAGCTGTTGTCGTTTTTCGATCCGAAGGACTTAGAGTTTGATAATTTGTTGAGCAAAGTGAAGGAGATTGTGGAGGGCAATGAAGCTAGAAGACTTCCCAAGCCTCCAAAGGTAAACAAACAAACACTTGCTAAATGTATTTTTCATTCATTTTTTTAGAACTATTTGTTTTGTTTGAGCTGTTAAAACAGATTTGAGTTGTTGGATTTGAGTACCATGTTGAACTTGTGTATGTATATGTTGAATGTTAGGGTACTCGTGATTTTTCTAAAGAACAAATGACGGTAAGAAAGAAAGCCTTTTCAATCATAGAGGATGTTTTTGAGAAGCACGGTGCCACTGCCCTGGACACTCCGGTTTTTGAATTAAGTGATGTTCTCAAGGGAAAATACGGTGAAGATTCAAAGTTAATTTATGATCTCGCTGACCAGGTAAAGTAGATGAACTTTCGCTGGTTTCAGTTGAAACTGCATTTTTTTTTGCCAGATTTCTCAGTTTTGATTGTCAAGTACTCCCTTTTCTCTTTTTCTTTTCTTCCCCCTACATTTTCGTTTCCTTTTTCCTCGACGATTGGAGGCAATTCTGATACTTTTGTTTTTCCCTCGATTGATTTAACAGGGTGGAGAACATCTTTCTCTGCGGTATGACTTAACTGTTCCATTTGCTAGGCATATGGCTTCAAATGGTTTAACATCCTTGAAAAGGTACCAAATAGGAAAGGTTTACAGAAGAGACAACCCATCTAAAGGAAGGTATCGTGAATTTTATCAGTGTGATTTTGATATTGCTGGTCAATATGAAAGGATGGGGCCGGATTTTGAAGTTATTAAGATTTTGACTGAACTACTGGATAAACTGAACATCGGAGATTATGAGGTAAATTTTGTATAAACACCGTTTTTACTTTTTTTTTTTCTTTCTGGATAAATTCCTTTTTTTTTTTGTTGGTTTGAATGATCACCTGGTTTGCTTAGGTGCCAATGCTTTTGCTTTCTTCTTTACCGCGCTTAAAATGAGAGGAATATATTTTCTAAAAGTTGAGCAAACAAGAAATTCAAATTTGTATTTTTTTTATTTGAAATTTCTGTCCAAAACATTGTCCTTTATTCTTTTTTTTCTTCTTAGTCTCAATAACAGAATCAAGTCTATGTAGACTCATGGCTCAGCTCTTAGTCTTGATTTGAGAATGATGTTGGAATGTAACTGATGTTCATAGATAAAACTGAATCATCGGAAGTTACTGGATGGGATGCTGGAAATATGTGGAGTGCCCCCTGAGAAGTTTAGAACTATTTGTTCAAGTATTGACAAGTTAGACAAGCAATCTTTTGACCAGATAAAAATAGAAATGGTAAGAAACTCAAACATAGCATGTGTTTCTGCATTATGTACTTATTTATCGGGTTATAACATTTTGTGCTGTGGAAGTGTTATGATTTTGAGGATGCATTATTCTGTTTCCTTTTTATTTTATTTCATTATCAATGAAGGGAAGTTTTTTCTTAGGGAAAAAAAGGTGTTCTGATCTTGCGTATATTGCCAGTAATTGATGATGATGATTGCTAATGCCCTTAAATGTTTGCTAGGTGGAGGAAAAGGGTTTAACTGAGGAGACTGCAGATAAAATTGGCACTTTTGTGAAAGAGAGGGGACCCCCTCTGGAATTGTTTGGTAAACTTAAACAGGAGGGGAGCAAATTCTTGGAAAACAGCTCATCTATTGATGCCTTGAATGATCTAGAGATCTTATTTGAGGCTTTGGAAAAATCAAAATGCATAAACAGGGTGACTTTTGACTTGAGTCTTGCCAGAGGTCTTGATTATTACACCGGTGTGATTTTTGAAGCCGTTTTCAGAGGAGGCACACAGGTGAACTCACGTTATGCTCTTGGGCTTTCTTTGCCTTAAGTTACTTGCTTTTCTCGCCCGCATCAAAGTGGTGTCTTGTATCTTCAATATTAGCTGCTTGATGATCCTCAGGTTGGTTCGATTGCTGCTGGTGGACGTTATGACAACCTTATAGGCATGTTCGGATCAAAGCAGGTTCCAGCTGTTGGTGTGAGTCTTGGAATCGAGCGAGTATTTACTATAATGGAGCAACTTCAGAAGGACCAGAACCAGGTGAGTTTGATACTTCTGCTCGTCCACTTCATTATTATTGGTCGAATTTTAAACTCTGTGAAGGCAAACTCCCCATTTCAAGTTATTGAAGTTATTTGTCATTGGTAACCACAAACAAGGCCAGAAGGCCCAGTACAACAACCGGACCTAATTACGAACCCATGACTATCCAGTCACATATGATTAGATGAAGTTTGTCCGTCTCCATCTCTCGAATGATGGATAGCATAGATAGCTTCTTTGCATTTCATGTCATCATTTAATAGACATCAATAACACAAAGCCAAAGAAGGTTTTGCGCAATGAAGTGCTACTATGAAGCTATAGGGGCATGAGACATGTTTTTCGCGGGGTGAATTTTGTGGCAGGGTACAAAATTATGCACAATACTGGTAGGGTATCTTTTTTACCCTGCAGAAGAATTGTCCTTATCTTATTCATGGAAACTATGTTCGAGGAGAATTTCTTGTGATGCTATCATCATATATATGTTGTGTATGTGAAAATTTTCTTTTCCTGACTGGATGTCTTTCAATTGGTAGAAAACGAGAGCATCAAAGACGGACGTCTTGGTGAGTATACTGGGTGATGATCTAAGTCAAGCCGCAGAGCTAGTAAGCGAGCTTTGGGATGCCGAAATGTATGCCGAATTCTCGGTGAGTAAAAGGTTGAATAAGCATTTTGACCGTGCCAAGGAGTCTAAGATACCTTGGATGCTGATACAAGGTGAGCGAGAGCGCAATGAAGGCAGAGTCAGAATCAAAGATTTCGAGTCCAGCAATGAAGATGTTGTTGTCCCGAGATCTAGAGTTGTTGAGGAACTCAAAGCACGCTTGAATCCTTCAAAATGATCTCCTTCAACCCGGGTTCTGACTCTCTGATTAACTTCTACTTTGGTACAACAATAATACCGGTTATACATGCCTTTATGAGTCATTTATTCATTTGGCGACTTTTGTTGTTTGTTGGGCAATCAACGCATCATATTTTTGTACCACAATTTTTGTGTCCATAGACATGCAAAGTCCATCTTCTTGAATATGATCTGATACCTTTTTTAAATGGGTAATCTTAATAAATACTCTTTAAAAGTGTTTATGTCAAAATTTTTATTTTTTACTCTTAATTTATAATCTTTTTAATTAAATAATTACACTAATAAAAAAATATTTATTAAAAATAAAAAATAAAAATTTCGACTCAGCAGTTTTAAGAATAAATTTTACATTTTTTTTTTCAAATGAATTAATGTTAATGGCAGAGTAGCATTAAAAAGTGTGTACGTGCGTGCGTGCGCCACCAAATACCATGGCCGTGGTCGCATTTTAAGGATTATCTTTCGCAGAAATTTAGTTGATATGGCGTTTTGTGGTAGGTATTTTTGGTTCGTTATTTATTTATTAATTAAATATACATGGGGCGTCATTCTTATGGCTGGACTATACCCAGGAAGAGAACAGTTAGATTTATGTAATTAAAAAGTTGTTTAGAATATTAGAAAGGACACAATGTAAATCAAAATAGTGACAAAAACAAATGGATGAGCAACAAGGAATAATACAATCGTCTCATCCAACAAAGCGGCTCATAGTTTAATAGAAGACTTTCGGTAATTGTAAGAAGTATTGGGGAACTTTGGCCACATACACTGTTAGCTGTTTTTTTTTAATATTTATTTTTTAATATTTAAATGAAAGCCTCTCCACTTTATCCTCATTCAACATGCCTTGTTGTCCCCTCCCCCAACTCCTTCCATTTTTTCTCTGTCAAGAAAAGGATATCTCATTCTCCTCCCACGTCAACTTTCACTTAATTCTATTCTCCAAAAAAAAAAAAAAAAAAAAAAAAAAAAAAAAAAAAAAAGGTTTTCACTTTACTTCTCTCCTCAATCTATTGATTGTTATGCTTTAAATGTTAAACCCATTTGTATGTTTAACTTCCACAAGTTGTTCTCAACGTTTAACACCCCGAATTTGCCTTTGATTTTTTTTTTTTTTTTGAGAAAGAGAAAAATAGGTTAAGATTTAAGATGAATTAAAATTAATAGGTCAATAGTTTACATAAGTTAATAAATAGACCAAATTATTATTTTCGTCCATAACTTGTCTGGTTATTAACCATAACTTGACAAGTTATTGTCCATAACTTGTCTGACTATGAACCATAACTTGACAAATTTGTCCATAACTTATCTGGTTATGAACTATAACTTGACAAGTTATGACCTATTAATTTCTATAACTAAAAATTAACCTATATATTTTTTTAAGCTTTTTATATTGGTCTATTTTATACCATTTCCTTTTTTTTCCCGCATTTGATTGTCACTTTAAATAGAAAAATGCGTAAGAAGAGGGAGAAGAAGAGAGTTTGGTCGGTACTAATTAGGCTCAACTCAATTCATGATATATTGATATGACCTACTTCTATTGGCTGTCTTTTAAAGGTTAAACCACTTTTATTTTTAATTCTCTATAAATTTTTCCCAACATTAATTCTTCCCAAATTTATTAAACACAATAGTAGAAGGATCGAAAAAAAAAAGGAGATTTTTTCAAAAACTGTAAAAAAAAAAATAAAATAAAAAACTGTTTTGATACTATTTTCTTTTTTACCTGTCAAATTATACCATATAATCATATCACATTCAAGAAAAAAAAATATTCTTTTAGATTTTGCTTTTTTTTTTTTTTTGAGACAAAGGATAAATTATCTTTCTTTCGTAGCCTTTGTCTAAGAGCATGTTTGGTAGGAAAGAAAAGTATAAGGAAGGAAGAAGATGGAGAAATTTTAGGAGAAAAAATGAAAATGTAAGTTGTTTGATAGGAGAGAAAAAAGAAAGAAAGAAAAAATGAAGGGTGCGTTTGGAATTGATTCCATAACGTTTTTGTTTTCTGTACGAAAATGAAAATGAAAACGTTTTTAGTTTCATTTTTGAATTATTTCTGAAAATGCGTTTGGTAGTTTTATTTAGAAATTGATTTCAGTTTTAAAAAAAACTGAAACTGCGTTTGGTGGTTTAATTTTTGAAAACATGTAATAATATATTAAATAAATAATATTATTAAATAT